TGAAAGAACTACAAAAGATCCCAAAGAGTAAAGATATGCAACAGAGCACTAAAGTTAGAATTTTCAATCCATTGTATTCCCCATCACCATGTACGGATGTGAGAGCTGGACAGTGAAGAAAGTGGATAAAAAGAAAATCAATTCATTTGAGATGTGGTGCTGGAGAAGAGTGCTGAAGATACTGTGGACAGCCCAAGGTACACAGAAATGGATCCTTGAACAGATCAAGCCTGAATTCTCCCTGGAAGCCAAGATGATCAAACTCAGGCTATCATACTTTGGACACACCATGAAAAGGTATGAATAATTGGAAAAGGTGCTAGGGAAGGGGGAGGGAAGTAGAAAGAGAGGAAGACCACATTCTAGATGGATAGACTCTATTAGGGAAGCCCTGAGTGTGAATTTACAAGATCTAAGCAGAGCAGTGGAGGACAGGGAATTTTGAAGATGTCTTATTCACAGGGTTGCCATGAGTCAGGATCAACTCGAAGGCAGTTAACATATTCTAAGGAAATAATATTCTCCGTTTGTTGGAAAGTTGCCTCGTCTGCATGTCCTTGTTGGTCATACTTTGGACTTGTGGATGGTACAGCTCAAAATGTACAAAGCAGTTTGTGGATTACTGGAGGCCCAAGCTACTGGCAGTTTATTGGTCAAACCCAGTACCTAAAAGTATAACTAGGTAGCTGGTCATTGGAAATACCAAATAGTTTATATTAGGGTTGTCTAGAAAAAATGTGGCAGAGGACACAGGCTTTGAAGAGGGATGGGCAAAGGACAGTTTGATAGAGTTGGAAGGAAAGGGAGCTCACAGGAAATAGGGTGGCAGTAGACTCTGACAGGGAGCTGTCTTTGGAAGTGTGACTCTTAAAACAGGGGATGAAGGAAGGTGGGGGCAGTTCCTGAAGTCTGACGAAGCTCCTTTCTCACAGCACCACTTATGTTTCTTGTGTGAGTTGTAGTTGGATTGCTGACTCCTTCTCAAATTCAAAGATGGGAATTGTTTGCCCCTCCAAAGGTTGTTGGACTGCAACTCCCAGCAGCCCTAGCTAGCCCTTGCCCTATACGGTACCTGATCGCCATACAAGGAATGTTTGGGATTTTTGAGGGGTACTCCCAGCAAAAGGGATAGAAAAGAATGAGGAGCCAAAAAGGAAGAGAAAAGAATGAAGGGGAAGGGGGGCAAATAACAGTCATGGGCTAGTGTAGCTAAATATGTGCTAAATATGTTGCGCCATCTTTTGACAACAAGAAGTCTTGTCCAAACCTAGTTTAGTTTCCAGATCTGCCCAAGCACATTCCTTGTGTTGCAAACATATTCATGAGGGATAGAAACCTGTTAAGAAGAAAATAAAGTGGGTCTGCACCCTGAAAGGCCAGAGGTTTCCCGGCACATCCTTTTACATGCATGAGATAGCTTCATACTGAACCAGGCTAATGATCTGTGCAGTTCAGTAGGCTATCCTTGGTTGTATCAGCTGGTACAGGCCAATCTGTTAATTTTTAAAAACAATGCACAAGCAATTACCATGTATAAGGGGAGGGAACTCGGCAATAATTTTGTAGTGGCCCATTTCCAACTTTAGTTGAATTGTTGTGATTCCAGTGACTTTGATGGGAAGGCAAGGAACCTGATGGGGTGGCTGACTTGTTTTTCTGAACTACATCAGAGAGTCTACTTTTATGCAGCTCTGTGTTGTAGTTGCCCCTCTTCTTTCTCATCTGTCAGCTCAGGTTGATCTTGAAATGCTTTAGAGCACTGCTGTGGTCCATGGACCTAAACCAGTCCCTGAGCCACTGACTGCTGGTTTCCAGGAAAGAAAGAAACCGCTGTTGCCAATGGATATCAGTAAGATACCAATCTCTGGCACTTGGAGGAAAAAATACTTGCCAGTCCCCCATATCATGTAGTTTGGAAAGCACTGCTTTAGAGATCTGTCATGCTTCTGCAGTGCACTGATAAGATCTGACCCTCCTGCAGTGCTTTTCTCAGCCTCCTTGCTGAGCCATCTGCAGTCCCAGGGCATTTCAGATTTTCAATCTATGCTGCTGTTCATATGAAGATGAAGTCTCAGCAAGTCCTTGCTGTGTCTGCCACTGGAGACAGGCAGCATCTTGTAGGGGATGGGCTGGATCTGCTGAGTCTTTTTGTATGGCAACGAAAGCTTTGCATATGGGGGCTTCCCAAGTATAACTAAGCCAGAAGGTGCCCAGCTTTCAAGCAGTAACTAAACACTCTTGTCTGCAGCCACTAACAAACACAACAGAAAGGAGAAGGAGTAAGCCCCTTTGTGTCCACCTCATTCTCAACAGTTAATGGGAATACCCACATGGACTACACTATTATTGACCAGGTCTTGTTGAACATGTCTTTATTTTGAGAACCAGCATGGCATAGTGGTTTGGGTGTTGGACTATGACTCTGGAGACCAGGATTCAAATCCCACTCTACCATGGAAACCCACTGGGAGACCTTGGGCAAGTCACACTCCCTCAGCCTCAAAGGAAGGCAAAGACATATTCTTTCTGAACAAATCTTGCCAAAAAATCCTGATAGGTTCACCTTAGATTTATTTTAAGTCGGGAATGACTTGAAGGCAACAATGCCTATATTTTACTCTGGACAAGTTTTAAATTCCTGCTGGATCTCCTCGTTTTTGACCGTTATCCCCAAGATGCTTGAAGAAGGCAGTGCAGATGCTTTTATTTTCCTTCTCTGCAGAAAGAATTGATTGGAGTGTTTTTTTAGCAGCCCACTTTCTTCTTGTCCAGTGCAAGGGCATATTGGATTTTTTTGCTCAGTAGGAAGGAAGAGCAATGCACACTGAAGTGGCTAAGCAGGCAGTAAAGAACTGCATTTTGTTTTAATTCATGACATTTTATCCTCTTCTTATTTATCTTTTCTTTGTATCTTCCCCTGTGTTCTGAAGAGATTAGATCTAGTGTATATATGGTTATCCCAATTTCCCCCTTTACCACAACCCTGTAAAGTAGGATATGACAAGAGATCGATTGTCTTGAGGTCATCTGGAATTGCATTGTGGCTGAGCCAAAATGTGAACCTAGCTTTCCCCAGTCCAAGCCTGAAAATGCTGTTCACCATTCCAAAAAGGCTGCCATCCTTTGAGAAGCTCAGAGCAGCTTACCTGAAGTTTGAGGTGTTCTCCTCATAGCCATGGTCCACCAGACCCACCAAGCCTGCATATATCCTAACAGTGTAATGATATACATCTGCCTAAAAAGTATTCTCTTGACCAGTGTCTTTAAAAATCTCATCAGCCTTTAAGGAGCCACTGTTTTGATTCATCCCCTGTGATCCACCAGGAACCGAGTATGGGCAAACACTTGACAGCTTTCTTAACTAACCATACTCTTTTAATTGTTTTGTTTATTTGTATCCTGCCTTTTTCCTAGATCCAGACTTAAGGAGGCTTAGAAAAATTAAAATGGAGATAAGAACTCACATCAACAAAGACATACAAAAGTTAAAATATATAAGCTAATGAGAGCCAGTATGGTGAAGCGGTTTGCATGTTGGACTACGATTCTAGAGACCAGGGTTAGATTCCCAGCTTGACCATGAAATCTGCTGAGTGACCTTGGGAAAGTCACATGCTCTCAGCCTCAGGGGAAGGCAGTGGAGAACCTCCTCTGAACAAATCTTGCCAAGAAAACCTCATGATAGGATTGCCATAGGTTGGAAATGACTTGAAGGCACACATAAACAAACAATCATTATAGATATACAAAACTTACATTATAAGTAAACTATCAATGGAATTAAAAGCCATTTGAAAAAACTCTCTGTTAAAAAGCAACAAATGCAAACGTTATTAAAACCTCTAAACAGAAATGAAACTCAGAGGCTGAATTTATCTCTGTTCTCATTTAGAGTTCAAGTTTGTGGGCTCTGGCCATGATAGTTCATTCACCTCTGGGACTGAGGAGGGAGGGTTCTTGGAGATATGGAGCTGTTGAAACAGATCTCCCATTCAATAGATGCAGTCAGCCCTTTGTATCCACAGATTTTTTCCCCTTGTCCATGGATTCAAGCATCCATGGTTTGAAAGTATTTTTTAAAAATATGAATCCCCAAAAGCAAACCTTGACTTTGCCATGTTATATAAGGCCACCATTTTACTATGCCATTGTATTTAATGGGACTTGAGCATCCACGGATTTTGGTATCCATGCAGGGTCCTGGAACCAAACCCCAGCAGATACCAAGGGCCCAGTGTAGAACTGTAGATGAACAGTGGATTCCCATTTTTAGCATGGGATAGAAACCTCTGACTCCTAAATAATTCCCCCTCTTATTATTCCATTGTAGCCTGGGGAGGAGGGAGTGTGGGACATGGGTTAAAAATGTACAGAGCACAGTATCATCCTCAACATTTAGAGGTGCTTATCTCACGCTGAGATAGCAGCTGTTGCCTATAACAGCCAAGCATTCCAGGATGTATTTGCTCTTAAGCAAATCAGTTACAAGTTCTGTGTCAGTATTCTCATCTTGCTATTTGGATGGGATGAAGACCAGTACAATAGATTAGGGATATTTATTTACCCAGTTCTTCTTTTGGGGTCTGGAAAAGGGCCATTCAGAGAACCTTGCTGCCTTGATGACCTATCTTGTGCCATTTGGAAATACTAGTGATCAGTATATGGAGGCTCTGAGGCCAATATTTGTAGAGGATGGTGAACCTGGTATCAAGAACTATGTTTTGAGAATGACGGCAATGGTTTGGATTTGTTGGCAACCCACTTTAGAGGGATCAGGGTGTTGGTTCTCTATCTTTGTTTCAGATGTACCTTCCCACTAGAGGTAAAACCACTTCCTTTTGTGGAACAATGAACTCCACCCTCCACTGAGTTTCCAGCATTGTTCATCTGATCGTTTAATCCAAGATGAAATCCAAGGAGATAAACAAGGGGTTCTAAATGTTGTCAGGGGCTGATGATCTTTGTTTGACCTCCAAAATGGTCAAGTGGGTCTATTCAAGACATGCTAGCAACCCAAAGGTGAATGGGATAGGTTTCTTTTGATGGAAAAGCATTCTGAGACCTAGGTATCTGTTGTCTCTAACAGTGTCCTGGGCAATTAGGTGCATAAGAATTTCCCAGTTCTGTCAGGATGTTGAGTGATTTTTGTTAGACTGTGCAGATCTATGGAGGGACTTCTTACAGTTTTGTTGTTGTTGTTGTTTTTTGGTCGCTTTACCATCTGTTAGCACCCCCCAGTCCATCTGTAGCTCCTTTTCTTCTCCTCCCCAGACAGAAAGTGCCTGGATTGCTACCAACATTTGCTGGGTGTTGGGAGTGACTGCTGTGTGCGCATGCACACACACACACACACACACACACACACACACACACACGTGCCAACATATATTTTTAATTTTATTGATTTTTTTCTCTTTTAAATGTAACTGTAATCCTTTTTAGGTACCATCTTGGATGATGAAAAGTAAGTTCTAAATATATTGTTTTAAGTTTTTGGTTGCACACCAGTATTGCCCTCAAAAGTACTCTGTGGTTAGTGCATTTTCTGGCCATTTTAAAACTGCTACTGATTTGACTTTTCGGCTGAGTCTGTACTCCATCCCAAGATAAATCTTTAACATTCTCGATGCTTTTGCCAAGAAAAGGGGCAGGAAGCCCCAGTGCCCTTTAATTAGCTTGGGGTCGTATCTTCATTTTGAACCCACACCTAGCTCTCCACCAAGCTTTGGCTGCTTGCCCTGGGACTCCACAGGGTTGTTTCTCTGCCTACTCTTTGGCCAAGTTATTCCCACGAGTATTAATAGAAAGATGACTGCAGTCTCTTTGAACGCTGTCTTCTGGCTCAGAAGCCATAGTGCGGTAGGATCCCTTTCTCCCCTTAAATATATGGAGGAGTTTGACGGGCTCTTTTTTTCTGGGTAGAGGGCCTAAGCTAAAGCCAAGGAGTTTGTGTATATGTATGTGTGTTTGGGGAAGATTAACTCTTACTCATCTGATCAGCCCTTTTGTAGTATTCATGTTGGTATCTCCCCACTACAGGGCGTAGAAAATCTCTGGCATTTTATCCCAGGTTCTCTGAGATCCTTGTTGTCCTGGAGATTAAACGGAGAGGTTTTACCAGAGGGTGAAAAATCCTCATGGTGTCAAAACTGGGGAAGAACACCACTGTCAAATCCCTAATACATCTGAGCATAGTGATTCAGTGTTGACAAATGGAAACCTAGGTCCCTAGACTGCCTTCTAAGTTTGGGCAGTTGTTATCAAGCACTGAAAAAGGGACAGGGAGGAAAAAGGCATTTGCAACTGCAACAACCTTGTGGGAATTAGCTCCTGCCTGGACTGAGGAGCCCTTGATTCCTTTTTTTATTTGGGAAGAGTCTGGTCTTCTTTTCTTGGGTCAAAGGAACTGGAGAGAGGGAAGATTGCTACAAACACAAACCAGGACTTTGGACTCAGCCTGTTCTTGGACCTGTGATTTAATCCTGGGATGCAATGTAAAGAAATACATGTCTATCCATTCATTTGCAGAGTTTCTGTCACAGACTGACTGTGATCCTAATCTCTCTTATAGACTCTAGAATCAGAGACCTGGTTTTTCATGGTATAACAGTGGCTGACTTGAGGTCTGGCACCTCTGTTGTTGTTGTTGCTGTTGCTGTTGCGTATCTTCAGGTCATTTCCAACTTATAGTGACCCTACAGGGAACCTCTAATGGGGGTTTCTTGTTATGTTTTACTCAGAGGAGATTTGTCATAGAATCATGGAATCATAGAGTTGGGAGAGACCACAAGGGCCATCCAGTCCAACCCCTTTCTACGACGCAGGAACTTAAAACCAAAGCATCCCAACAGATGGCCATCCAGCCTCTGTTTAAAGACCTCCA